AGAGTTTTACTCGCTACAGGGTGTACTTTGAGGGTTTTGACTCTGCACACCGTTTACATGCATAAAAACCTTCATAACACACAAGGGGACGGGTAATAACCGGAAAAGCATGACATGGGAGCTTTAAATGTTTGTTCAGGGCAAAACCACAGATTCAGTCCAACATGTTACAGACTGATCACTCTGCTGCTCTTTGCTGGACACACATTATGTAAGTGGAAGAGCCTGGAACAGTCTGAAGATATTGGGTTTAAACATGAATTTATTACCGGGTAAATAGAGACTCCTAGTGGAGGACAAATAGCTGTGAAGATGCTGGATTATAGGTAAATTATGTTTGATTTGCGTCCAGCATGGCTCTAGAGATGGTTGAATATTGGTTTATCGTTCCAACACTCTGGTTCTGACCGAAATATCTCAAAAAAACATTTCATGTCTTGGCATGAAATGTGGGTACAATCAATAATGTTCCCCTCAGGATAAATTATAAAACTTTGATAAACATTCATAACCAGATCAAACTTTCCAACATATTTTTTTATGGTCAATTACCTGTAGTGGTCGTTGGACGCGGGGGATCGCCGTTCCCCCACTTATTTGGAGCCCCCACTTTTTTGAAGCATGATTGCTTGGGATTGCTTGGGATGACCTAATTAAAATAGCGTCCACCCAGTAAAAGAATCCCCACTACACCACTGATTACCTGCAAAATGAATGACATTCCCATCAGCCTCAGCTTGCTTTTTGTTAAGTGCTATATTACAACCCAGTCTCACGGCATTTCGTGTTATAGTCACGACATTTAATCTATTGATTCGTGTTCACCAACACGATTTTCCCCTTTTTTTCATGTCACACAGAACGATTTTAAAAGCAATGTATTTCTATTGGTAGTATGTTTCGTGCCTGCACCACGTCTTTTTGTCCAGTCGGGTCTTGGAAGACCGGAAGCTGTGTGGTTCATAAAAACATTTTCTTACTCAATATCAAGCCACGATTATTGTTTTTATTTTAAATTGTATAATGTCTCACTTTTTTTGCCGTCCGTGTGGAAAATAAATGGGGCTCAGAATACTGAAATCAGTATTTTTAAAATCTTTTTTTCCTTCTAATTTGTTATTCTTTTCTAAATAACACACTGTTATTTACTCAACAATAACACACAATTATCCTTGTTTTTATTTATTTGTTTAATTCTATAATATCGGGCTTTTTTGCCGTCCGTCAGGAACTGAATTTCAAAATAAAGTCACAGGAAACAGACGTAGGCGATACACACCCACTGAACTGATTACCCAAGATCCTCAGCTATGGTTGAAGCTCGGTGATTGGATGTTTTAGCCGCAATGCACGTTGGGATATGGTGTTAATGCGATATTAAATAACTATCAACAGAATTGCGTTGCCAGGCAACAGCTTGGGGTGAAAACAGTATTTCCGGTCTCGAAGTTTGCATAGTAATCTGCAGTACTCATCAACTAAAAACATCAGTTTATCCTTGTTAATTACACAACATTGATTGGTTTAAATTGTGTACAATGCTTTTGTGTTTTCCCCCTTCGATTCGGAGAAACAAATAGTTTTTTCGCAGTTTAGGATGGCCGAAGACACTACACTACCCATAATCCTCAGCTATCATTTGGGACTACAATCCCTTTGCTTGACAAACCCCGTGATTAATCTTCAAGCTCTGTGATTGGATGTTGGAGTGGCAGTGTGCCAAAGTTACGCCGAGCGTCAAACAGCTCGATGAAATGGAATGAAACCACGGCAGACTATCCAAAACTGGACTTGAACGGGTCCAACCTTGGTATTTTCACTCCACTACATTTATTTTAGTTACTTTACAGATTCTGATTAATGATGTGAAATATAAACAGCCCTTAAATCAGACTTTAGTTACACCTGAGTAAAATTCAGGGAAGGTGATTGTCAAGTGCCAACAATCAGGCGAGATATTTGATAGTTGGTAGTTGAGAAGACTAAACATTTATCTGCAGATCCCTATAAAGTATATTCATTAGTTATTCTTTAATGGTTAATTTAAAACTGTATATAATGGCTATTTTGCACATCCCTTTCAAGATTTCAAGATTTTCTAAGTTTTATTGACATATCATATACACAACTACGGTGTGGTTATGCAATGAATGAAAAACTTGGGTCACAGGTTCCTCAACAAGACATCTATCAATATGTGTGTATACCTCCACCATTATACTGTCATATTCTGCACATTTCTTATACTATCTACATACATCTTATAAGAGTATAATTCATATGTATAATATCAGTTAAAATAAGTGCTTCAACATAGTTAACATTGCAGGAAAGCAATATATTAGACGTTAAGTACTTTGTCAGGCTTAATATGTATCTGTAGATACCCCCAAAGCTTTTTTCTTATTTAAAAGAAGACCTTAACCTAAAGTATTCTTTAATGTGTTAATAAAGGTTAATTAGTTTGTCTGTTTTGCACATCCTCCTATTAATATCTTTGTACATCCGGCACTAAACTGTTTTATTGTAGAGATCACTTACAGTATCCTCTTGATATTTTATATTCTGTATTTCTATCATTGACCTTCTACTCTTAATATTTGTTTCATCGAATATAACATATTCAACAACAAATTAAATAACGTGCTTTAACCACTAGGCGGTGCGGGTTAAAAAACTGTCAAGTTTAAGGTGTTAACACAACAAATTATACTTGTTATTATTAGTGTAGGACACTTATGTATGTATAACATCTGAAGATATGTAGTTTTATTCATGTTTTCACATAACTTTACAGGATATTGCTATAATATTTCACATATTGTAGTTCTACACATTAATATCTGATTTGTAAAACATCACAGACAGAAAGGTATATCCGTCATTTAATGGTAAGCTATTGCAATTCTGATTCCATAGATGTGTCTCCCATCACCCAAAACCCCTGACTATTCTCTCAACTCAGTATTTACATTCTTATATTCAAAGAAAATCAGTAATATCTTTAAAAACTACAAGTCCCTGCCTATCAGCTGTGCACCGCAACCTATCTACCAATTGGATCAAATATAAAAGTCAGCCGAATTACTATAGATACTTTTCATATCACATAAACACCATATCCCAACGTGCATTGCGGCTAAAACATCCAATCACAGAGCTTCAACCATAGCTGAGGATCTTGGGTAATCAGTTCAGTGGGTGTGTATAGAGTGGCGAAGTCACGCCCATCTACTTCCGCCGCATGGGACCTTATTTCGGAAAAATAATGTATTGAAGTCAATGGAGAGAGAGAACTTATCTTTCGATCCCGTTTGAATTGTGCCATGAATTACACATATGATGTTTGTCAATCTTAAAAAATCATTTCCATGTCAAAAAACTCACAGTTTGTCGTAAAACTGTTGAAATATAAGACTATGAAAAATACGCAACTAGAATGACTACAAATCCCAGAGTCGCGTAAGTGATGTCACAATTGAGACACTAAGAGATAGCTAAGATCAGCTAGATAGATAGATTCTATATATATGGCGCTGGCTAAGATAAGATAACTTTAACAAGATGCCTGTGTGCTTAGTACCAGGTTGTTATTATACCAGCAATGGGTCTTGCTCGTTCTTTCGCTTCCCGTCTGATGAAAGGACCAGGAGTGTGTGGATCAAGCTAGCTAGTAGCTAGCACGTTAGTTAGCATTACAGCCTTGTCATTTTTATTAGCCTTAACATGAAGTAACATTAAGTAACCCAAAATGTTAAACAGTAAGAGTAGTAGTCATATTTCGTGAACCCTTTGAAGAGTACTGTCACCGGTGTGGTCATTCTATAATACACAATTTAAGCCCGGGGGAGAAATGCTAACGCTAACGCTAGCGATCTTCTCTACTTCATGCTATCTGCACAAATGGTTGACATTAAACATTAAAACGACCAGGCAGTTCAGAGAGAATCAAAGGAAGGCAGGCAGGCAGCTTTGCATGACTTTCTTCAGGACGTGTTTCATTGTGGTGATAGTGAGGGTAGTCAATCGTTTTGTTGACAAGACAGTAGTGACGGCCATCTTGGTGACGTGTGTTGTTGACCAGAGATGTAGTTCATTGAGCGTTTCACACAAACAAATGTGTTACTTCACAGTTTTACGACACATTTTTTTTTTTTTTACTTGCAAAATTATCTTTTAAATTGACAAACATCATATGTGTAATTCGTGGCACAATTCAAACGGGATCGAAAGATAATCTTTCTCTCTCCATTGACTTCAATACATAATTTTTCCGAAATAAGGTCCCATGGAGGTCCACCGGAAGGGGAGGGACCTCGCCACTCTATCGCCTACGTCTGTTTCCTGTGACTTTATTTTGAAATTCAGTTCCTGACGGACGGCAAAAAAGCCCGATATTATAGAATTAAACAAATAAATAAAAACAAGAATAATTATGTGTTATTGTTGAGTAAATAACAGTGTGTTATTCAGAAAAGAATAACAAATTAGAAGGAAAAAAAGATTTTAAAAATACTGATTTCAGTATTCTGAGCCCCATTTATTTTCCTCACGGACGGCAAAAAAAGTGAGACATTATACAATTTAAAATAAAAACAATAATCGTGGCTTGATATTGAGTAAGAAAATGTTTTTATGAACCACACAGCTTCCGGTCTTCCAAGACCCGACCAGACAAAAAGACGTGGTGCAGGCACGAAACATACTACCAATAGAAATACATTGCTTTTAAAATCGTTCTGTGTGACACGAAAAAAAGGGGGAAATCGTGTTGGTGAACACGAATCAATAGATTAAATGTCGTGACTATAACACAAAATGCCGTGAGACTGGGTTTTATATTAGCATGCTTACGCCGGGGACTAAGTGTCTACGACTACGTGTTTCTTTTTTATGTTTGAACCATGTCAAAACCTTGTGAAAACAGTACAAAGAGGACCAGCTGACACACACACACACACACACACACATGTTTCTGACATGTCTGTTGTGTCTCACAGGCTACAGTCCATCCTTCCAGCCCAGCGTCTCCTCCCCACCTGAGGTGCATGATTCTGGGCTACAGGAGCACCGTGTAGCCCCCGTCCTGGAGGTGAGGATGGACAAAAGATTTGGATACTGACATATTACTGTTAATGTCTTCCTATTTAATTTGTTAGGGTTGGATATTTTCTCAGTAGTTATAAGTATAACAGTCTGTTCCATAACAAATATATTACAAAAAATGAAGATTAGATAGAACATTTAAAAAACTTCACGCACAACCGTCCAGATTTGATTACCTTATTATGACAGAAGTTAAAAGCCCCATAAAGTCATCCTTTTACTGTTTGACATTTTCACTTATTATTGGGTCACGGAAATAAGGCACTTAATATTATCATTGGTGCAGTAACCATTCATATCCTTAACTTAAATGTAACGTAGAATTATTAATACAACAATATCATAATACTCTGTTACAAATTTGATGTTGTAATTTTAATCAGGAAATTGTACTACGTTTTTAAAAGTAAAAACAATGTTTCCTGTGACTGATACACTTTTATATGTTATATCATTACATTATTATTATTATTATTTTAACTACATTATTATCTATTATAGCAGATAGAGTCAGAATAAAAAGTAATTATCAGCTCCATTTTGTCTTTAATTAGATCGCAGTAAATCAGGTCCAGTAATCCACAGGGCTCACCTGCTAATCTTGCAGTGAATAATTAAATTAGTGTTTAAACCCTTTATGGGATTAGTGGCCCCTCTTTGTTTCATGTGAGCAAATGGGGATAAGAGACACAGAGAAGACTTGTTAAGTTTCTCTTTAACCCTCTATAAATTAATGACAGTTTACGCAAGTCATTGGGTCTTTTCATGTTAATAGCCATTATAAACTTTCTAATTTTACTACTATTCCTGCCAGTAGTATGTTTGTACACTACTGTGATTATCACTAGTGCTTCTATCATTATACGGGGCTATATTCCTACCAGTATTATTAATGCTACTACTTAAGCTATTATACTGGCGTGGAAAAAGTAATCAGATATTCTACATAAAAACCGGAAAAATGCTACCTGAATTACTTAAATATAAAGTACATGTAGTATACTTACTACTTACTACTTTTTATATATATAAATCAATAGACAGAGATATTTTTTACAAATAAAAACTGGATCCAAGTTGAATCTGAAGTGTTTGGTTGGAATACCAAACAGATCATTGTAGCATGCCATTGTCATGCCCTCTGTTTCAGCCCTGTTTCAAAAGAGCTGATTCTGTGTCTGTAGCTTTAAATGCTAATGAGCTGCTGCTGGCCACGCCCCTCTGTGACGTGATTGGTTTAAAAAAAAAAATGTTGCTCTAGGAGGAGATTCAGGGTTGGTTATTGGCTAATGGTTGCACAACCCAAAAAAACAATGTGACATCACAAAGTGGCCAAAATGTGATCAGCTCATTTTCAGACCAGATCAGAGCAAACAGAGAGAGAGAAACTTTTTTCCTGAAACTTCCGAATCTTAACATACTGGGGACACTTATTTATGTGGATTTTGCATAATAGGTAACCTTTAAATGGACGAGACACTTTTTGTTTTCTGGTTACATGGTGGAAGGTCCACAGTTTTCCGACCACATTATTAGACATATTATTCTATAATACAGTAGATCACATTATTTGGCACCTTGTTCTAAGTACTTTTGGCGCACCTTTTAGTGCATTATTGTCAACATATTTCTGAGGATTGCCTGATCAGGATAATGATATTTTTGGGATTTTGGATATATATTTTTTTTCTGGAAAGAGATCTGGAGTTCATCGTTTGATAAGTCATATTTTTTCAAGTGGAACCAAACAACATCTCTGTGCGTGCTTTTTGAAAATGTGTATCAGACTCCGTCACCTCACCTCATGTGGCTTCAGGAAGTTTAAACCCCAGAAACAGCCTTCCAGTGGAAATGACATATTTGACTGTCACCTCCTCTTGTGTCTCCCTTTACCTGACGTCTCCCCTACAGGTGGATCCGTTAGAGAGAGAGCTGTGGGAGGCAGAGGGGGAGGAAGGCGGTCATTCAAGTGGCTACGGAGTCCTTCTCTCCTCCATCATTACGACTACTACTACTTCTACTACTACTACTGCTGCTGCTGGTGGAGACGCTGCAGGAACATCCACCCCTGAGACGGACACAGGCACAGACTTTGGGCTGCTGGGAAGCTACACAAGAGGTATACAAAACAAAGCCAATATTGATGGACTTAGTTTGATATTGTTTGAAATATCTAAATATATGGTATGGATTGCCATGAAATCTTGTACATACATTCATATAACCCTTAGCATTCATTCTAATGAAAGTGGGGGTCCTTTAAATGTTACTCTGGTGTCACGATGAGGTGAAGATATTTGGATTTAAATCTAATATCTCATCTACTAATTGGTGGATGTCATGAATTTTGATTCATGTTGGCACCACAATGAATTGTAATAACTTTCCTACAGTGAGTACCAGTAGTAATACTAGTGCATACATACTCTGAACAAAAGTAAAAGCATCAACATGTTCTTAAATAAATAATAAGTTGAATAAAAAAAACTATTTCTGTTTGAAAAATGTCGGGTCTGTGCAGTGTATGGGTTTCACACTACTGACGTTAGATCGTTGGTCTGCTGTTAAGCTGTGATGATTAGTCGTCTAATTATTCAGTAGATCGACAGAGAAATAAACAACAAATGTTTGGATAATTAATTTAAAAAGAAAAGTCAGAAAAATGCTGTTTTTAAGCCTCTGAAACATTGACCATTTTAGATTTTCTCAAATTTGTATCATATTAAACTAGATATCTTTGGAATTATAGCCCCAATGGTAATCGAGAGCATAATTTGCAGATTAAATGATAATGAAAAGAATCATTAATTCAGCTGCTGCTTTTCCCTACTCTACCGTGAGCTGAAATCAAACGTAAGACGATATTAAGACACTGACAAACTGCTTCCCAACAGAAAACAAAGACCATTGTTTTTTGTCTTCACATACAGTATTTTCTCTTGTTGTAGACTGGATTCTTGTCTATGATTAAACAAAAAATGTTTACTAAGGCTTCACAGCTTTCCCGTGTTTTGTATTGGTCTGTATAATGTATAAATGTTATCAAGTTGTGAAAAAGGGTCTTACATTTTCTTTTATCTGCCAACTCATTTCTAATGAAAATAATACTTTGTGGCATGCCTATCATTGTTCTGCATTTTAACTCCACCTACATGAGATTAAAGAAGATGAAGATGAAGTCTCTGCTGCTTGTTGTCTTTCCCCTGGTTAGTCTCTGTAGAGGAGACAGAGGATGAAGAGACAGAGAGGGAGGAAGAGGAAGAAACGGAGCTTGCACACAAAGGCCTTTTTACCCAGAATCTAACAGCAGCAGAGGTTGGCATGGCTCCCAGCAGAGAGCCTCTGCAGCCCAGCGTGGAGGAAGAGAAGGAACACCAGTCACAAGGTGAGCAACAGCCTGTTTGTGTCTCTTTCTTTTGAAATCAAGCGCCCACTTTCAAAGAAAGTACTGAGAATTTCAATGGCTAATCTTAAAGAAGACTTATTATGGTCATTTGCAAATTATTTTTCTGTATTTGTGCCTGTGACATGTTTCCATGCTTTAATGTTCAAAAAGCTCTTTATTTTTCTCATACTGCCTGTGCTGCAGCACCTCTTTTCACCCTCTGTCTGACACCAGAGCCAAGTCTGCTCTGATTGGTTAGCTGGCCAGATCTGTTGTGATTGGTCAACCTCTAAGAGATGTCCCGCCCCTTAGCCTTTCACGTACAATGTGTTGGAGCGCTAGCCAATAGAAGAGTGTTACATAGTGATGTCACTATGTTACAGTAAACAAAGGAGTCCAATGGAGGCGTTTCAGGCAGGGGGGAAGTGTGTGGGAGAGAAACTCCCTCTGGAGGGAACACAGAGATTTGAGCCTTTGCAGACCATTTACATGCACACAAACCTATAGAACACACTTCAGGATAGGGAAACCCCAAAAAGCATTATCGGGCCTGTTTACCTGTTTTAATGTTTTAATTAAAGGGTGGGTTGAATAAATGCATTATAAATGGATTATTCTGGTTATCCCGATTAAGGGGGCATACTGCCAGACAGAAGCGACGAGATGAAGGAGGAGGAATGGAGAAAAATGAAGGAGGAAGAGGAGGGAACAAGCAACAGACACATGGTCCCGCTCACCACAGACTGGGATTTACTGGAGAAGACCACTGTCCTGCCGACCCAGAGGTCAGATGTCAGGGGGGGCGGGGTCACAGAGGTCCACGATGTGTATGAGATGGAGGAAGCACGGCAGGTTTGTTCAAATCTAAATCTGTCTCTGTTCTAACCTTTATTAATGAATTCATTCATATTGATATTACTGTTGTTTAAAGGTGGTGTGTTTGGAGTGGAGCGAGCTGGTCGGACGTGGGTACGTCGTCCTCAACATGACGCAAAACCTAAACTGTGTAAGTACACGGGGGAAATATTTAGATAAAAGGTTTCAACAATACAAGATTCATTTGTGATATTGATGGGATTTTATTTAATATTCAACGTGGTGGAATGTACAGTAAAAAGCATTTATACTCAAGTACAAGTTTGAGGTACTCTTACTTCACTTACATATTTCTATTTGATGCATCCTCGAAGAGGGAAATGTTACAATGATGGGTAATGAGATGAGAAATAATTTATAACATTTAGCATTTCAAAAATAGAGTTGAAATGTCGTGAAAAGTTTAACTCCATTTTTCTCCCACGCTGTCAGACAGACAGTGAACTGGAGTTTTCAAGTGAGAGAGGAAGGTACCTTAATCATAATGTCTGTCGTCATGGCAATAACACAAACCCTCACCACCACCGTACTGACCTTATAGTTGCTATGGCACCACTGATGTGCTCCTGTTTTCCTGCACCTATTTTTTTAAAGAAGTTGTCTTTATATTGGTACTTTGTCTGTGAATATATTCTATGTGTTCATAGTGATATTTGTGCGTAGAAAGAGAAAGCTAGAGAAATAGATGTTATAACTTTGTTATGTTTACATATTTCTTTACAACAACATAATATATGAATGATTATTTGATTGAATTAAAGGCAGAAAACTGAACTGTAATTTGTAAATGTCTACTTCAAATCAAGCTGTTGCTTGTGGTATAAAGGTGTGTGTGTGTGTGTGTGTGTGTGTGTGTGTGTGTGTGTGTGTGTGTGTGTGTGTGTGGTGTGTGTGTGTGTGTGTGTGTGTGTGTGTGTGTGTGTGTGTGTGTGTGTGTGTGTGTGTGTGTGTGTGTGTGTGTGTGTGTGTGTGTGTGTGTGTGTGTGTGTGTGTGTGTGTTACAGGAGGAGTTTCGCGTGGACCAGGGTGTACGGTTGTTGAAGGTCATGGAGCGCGTGTTCGCTCGGAGAATGAACAGCCCAGAGGGATCATGGTTAATCTCTCTCAGCAAACCTACACACCAGCAACACCAGCTGCTGATGAACGTGGCGTCTGACCGCGGTAAGCACACACACACACACACACACACACATATTCATGCACATTTTTGTGCAGAAAGCAAGAGGTACTTCGATTGCTATTCACATTCACATTTTCAGTTTTTTATTTTAAAGTACATAATTAAGTAAAAGGTGCTCTGATTTTAACGGTGCTGTGAGTGCTTCTTAACACATTCACATGCTTACAATATACAGTATATATTTTAAAATATGTTAACATTGTTCCACGTATTGCGTCCTCCAGGAGTGATAGCCACCAAGGATGTGCTGGGCATGCTGGGAGAAATCAGGAAACATTTGAATAAGGTACACAGGCCAGTAACGTCTTTTGATATGTACTACTGTCTGTGTATTGCAAAGCCCAAACAATTGTCACAATAAATGAAAGTAAGCAATTACAAGATTTCTGCTCATATAGAACACATTGTGATTTCAACCTGTTTAAGCATGTTGAATTTCAAGCTTAATCACAATAAGTAGGTATGGACTTTTTGTGTTTGTGCATAAAAAAACATTGTAAGGGAAAGAAAAAAACATGAGACATGAATCATAAATATAAAATAGAAATATTTTCCTCAAGGATGGAACTCAAAGAATGTGAACCTCTGCCAACGCTGTTTGCATTAGTAAAACAAATATTTTCCAACTTAAAAAATGTATGGATTGTAGCTTGGCCCATGCTACACCCTTCCAAAAATAAAATGTATCCAATGTAAGTGTTAAAATTGATAAGAGCTGAATACTGTTTAAAAAAAGGTAATTCAAATCGAAAACATATTGAGAAATGTGCAGAAGTTTTCAGCATTTTGCACAGATAACAATTTATGAAAAAAGTGTCTTATTTATGTAAACATCGTGTGTGTGTGTGTGTGTGTGTGTGTGTGTGTGTGTGTGTGTGTGTGTGTGTGTGTGTGTGTGTGTGTGTGTGTGTGTGTGTGTGTGTGTGTGTGTGTGTGATCAGCTGGGCATCCAGAACTACAGCTCGGCCAGCAGCTGCCCGTCTCGCCCCAGTCAGACACGCAGCGACTACGGGAAGCTGTTCGTGGTTCTGGTGATCATCGGCTCCATCTGCATGGTCATCATCACATCTGGATTCATTTACATCTGCTGGCAGAGAAGACTGCCTGCAACCAAGACCACGGTGAGTTAACATTCAGGCGGGAAATGTGAATAGCACATTTACTAAAGTACTTTGAGGCAATTGTTTTTTGGTATTGAGTATCTCCATTTATTTATCTTTTAATTTCATAACTCAATGCAACATATAATTTAACTAATACATTACAATATGTTACAACAAGTTAACCTAGGCAGCAGTATATATTGTACCTAAAAACTGCTTCTACCTTTACCAGCTGCAACATTAAAGTGATAAACACATAAATGAATTAATAATTATAATCCAGTATTGTAATTATTATTCTGAAACATAATGTCCCCCTCATTAATTTGCTCATGGCTCCCAAATACAAGAAATGAAACAAAAATAGGTCAAGATTATAATTGACTATTTCCCCCACTGTCACCAAAATAAGTATTTAACACATTTTTTACAAGGAACATATCATCCTAACACGTTGACACAATAATCGCATTTTGTCTGATTTGCCTTGCACAGCAACATATTCTCATGAGATCTGGCAACAAAAAGCATTAACGTTAGTCAAACTTTGTAAAAATGTTGAACTAACGTTAGTCAAACTTTGTAAAAATGTTGAACTAACGTTAGTCAAACTTTGTAAAAATGTTGAACTAACATTCACAAGCAAGCTACAAGCTAACTAATTCTGGTAAGGCTAAATATATATATTATCTCTGTAAATATATAATGATGACAAAATGCAATATAAAGATATTTCTTTGATCTCACAGTTTCGCAATGAGGAACTTCACTTCGTGGAGAACGGTTGCCACGACAACCCAATGCTGGACGTAACCAATGACAACCAGTCTGAGATGCAGGAGAAGAAGCCGAGCACCAATGGGCTCGCAGGAGGACGAGGGGGAGGAGGAACAGGGGGAGGAGGAACTGGAGGAGGAACTGGAGGAGGAAGAGGAGGCGGGGAGGAGAGCAGTCGCTGGCAGGTGATTGGACGACTCTTTAAATCAGGGGTGGGGAACCTCCGGCCCCCGGGCCGTATACGGCCCGCAAGACCATTTGATACAGCCCTCGAGGTCATTTATAAACACACGCAAAAAAAAATTAAGAAATCTAGACTGCAAAAGAATTAAAAAAGCGAGTGCCTGTTTTTCCTGGCCAAGGTCAGGGTCCTTGAACACAACACGAGCCTAACGTGTCATCACGTGGTATATGTCTCGTCTGACGGGGGTGCAGTTCAGCCGGAGAGCACCGGAACGCCGCTCCAAAAATGGCAGTACCCATAAGGAGCCGTACACATGCCGCAGTTTGTGCGTGGCTGTGTCTTTAGTTGATCTGTTCATCTGACATACTGATCATACAGTCAATAACTTTGTTGTTATTAGCATCTGGTTAGCTAGCTATGCCAACGAATATAAGAAGCTGTTTCTACAAGCAGTGAGGTAAAGGCACATCTTTATATGATCATAAAAAAAAAGAAATCTGCTTACAGTTCTGTTTCATATGGGTGTTGAGAGATGTATCCATAGATCTCTTAATGTTGCTCTCAAAGTGCACCAGATTGATGCTTTTAACTTCAACATGTTAAAAAAAATCTTCCCACTTAAATAATGTTCACATCGATAGGAAACTAAATACATTTGCACACATCTTGTGTCCATATCTTTCTGTTTTGGTGGTCATGCCACAACCGTGCACGTGCATGCATGCGCGAGTCATGGTAAGATATCTGGGTTAAAAGTTAGCTTTTTCTTTGCACAGCATGAAAGAAAGGCGAAATGAATGGGCTGTGATTTTAGTTTTTTTAAGCATAGGTTGAGTTCAATAATTTGTACGGCCCTCGGAGGATGTTGTAAAAATTGAAATGGCCCTTGAGAGGAAAAAGGTTCCCCACCCCTGCTTTAAATGAACATGTGGACGAGGAAATAAATGAATAAGTCAAGGTTGAAATGCTTAGTTGTAAACTGCCTGCTGTCTTTTGTTTGGGGGGTTGGAAAAAGCATGTTGTTGATAGTTAACATGTTTTTATTTTTTAAATTAACTTTAACATCATGACTTTGTTACTGCCTGAGCTTAATAACATAGTAAAACAGGTTACTACTACTGTTAGTAATAACACTGTTGTTTACATGCAAATCGTTAACTGAGTGATTTGTAGAAAAGCCTCTGGAGATTTCAGAATCAGAAGACCTTTATTCGTCCCACAGAGGGGAAATGTACATTGTGCTGGAATTGATCAGTGGCTGCCATACATTTTTAAAGCTGCTCTTACCTATTTCCTTTTATTTTGAAACTGAGTCTTTCCATGGGAACAACTCTGAATATTTCATGTTTTTTTCTTGGATTCAATTAAATAGTATGCTATGAAAAAAATATATATTTCAAGACTCCTGATTTGGATGTTTTTAGATGTTACATTTTTTAATTTTACTCAACTCCTTAACTAGCCATAACCAGGATTTACACTATTTACGCATGACACTTAGTCATAGATTAGTCTATTATAGAGTATCTATATCTGTTTGATTTATATCTGTTCTACCGTACCTACTGTATATATAATGTTTATGTACCTTGTAATTATTTTATAATTGTTCATTTCTTTATATTTCTATTTCATGTGTCATGCCTGTTTACATGCTGCTGGGACAAAAACAATCACAATTTTATGGAAACTAATTTTAATCTGCATTTTGCAGGTCTTTGTCAATCAGGCAGTGACTGAGGAGGAAGGAGAGGAGGAGCAGGACACACATCTCTGATGGACGAAGAGGAGGAGGGGACAGGTTATGAAGGTCTTTGATAGACAGGTGATAAATGGAGCCTACAGGAAAGAAGAAGAAGAAGAAGAAGAAGAAAACAGAGGAGTAATGAGGAGGAAGAATGGTGGAGAGGAGAGGAGGAAGAGACAGAAAAGAAAAAGTAGTGAGGATAGGAGATAAACGATATAAGGAGTGAGTAGAAGATGTGTTGTCCAGTGAGAGTTAAAGAGGCTCGTAGGAGGTGAGCAGGAGTCACTGACATATCCATGGCTATTAGACACCAGGGTTTATTTCATGCTTCAAATTGAAATGCATAAAAAGACATTTAACTTGCTGATCTCTTTAAAAGTTCTGGGAAAGGTAAGCATTTCCTAAAGCTGCATACCCTTACCTGATGTTAGATAATGTCACAATCTGTTGATTGTGCCTTATGCTTTCAGCTTTTTGCATTGCACGAAAAATAATCCTGATACCAGCGACACAATCATAGCAGAGAGCACCTTATCCACCGTAACATTTGAATGTAAACGAGGCTTCAAAGTCTGAAGCGTCCACAGCTGCAGCGTCATCATTGGCTAAAACATATTTAGGGAAACTAAAATAATTACTAAGATTTCCCACCTGATGTAGGTTTAATTCTGAAGAACACGTTGTTGACTTTGATAACCAGTGATGGAATGTACCTAAGCGCGTTTCAAATATTTGACCTACGTACAAACTCAGATTTTATTTCACTCCAATATATTTATCTTAAGGTTATACTACTTAATACTGTACATGTACTGTTATTATTTTACATACAAAATGTTTGATGAGCTTACAAACAACAGTGCAATATTACTGATGAAACTACTCAAAAGTATTTCAAGTATTTCAAATTATTAATTATTGACACAATCTACAGTCCAATGATAAAAGGCTATTAACACATTAAGGCCTCTTTCATAATAATAATCAAATAACACTTTCACAGAATAGTTTTTTGCAGGTACTTTTACTTTTGATACTTCAAGTACATTTTTCTACCAACACCTCTTTACTTTTACTCAAGTAATATTTACTCAAATATTGTACCAACAGTGTGTCCCCTAGGATGGAGTCATAGCAGCGGTGCTAAGGCAGCAAAATGTGAGCGTGGAGCGCGTGGAACTTTTTAGTGTGTGCGCGTGCAAAGTGCGCCCCGCCAATATGTTTCTATGTGTCTGCCAGCACAAGAAAGGCTCTGGAGGCCCAGTACATACAGTGGCAATGTCTCAAGATTTAGCAAAATACACCTTTATTGAACATACAGTAGCAAATACTACAAATCCACATAACAAATTATTACTTATTATTATTTTAATAAAAAAGAAAATAAATTGGCTGCGCTGCCGCTATTTGTATATAGGGGAAACACTGACCAATATTTTACACATTTCTGATACTTTATACTTCATTTATTAGAATCATTTTCAATGTATACTATAGGACAATAAACCAGCTAAAATCTCGCCTCGGGCATCAAATTGGCTAGAACCGGCCCTGCTAGTAGTTATTAAAACTTCAGAGATGTTCAGTAGTTTACCCCTGGTGTCTGAATCCGGAGACAACAGCGACTCCTCTTAACTTTTCCAAACAGGAAGTACAACCTGTAGCGTGAAGTAAGGTTTTGGCACTTTATCGATTCCTCTTGGAAATGGCGACTATCATCATTGAAATGCTGCATCATGTTAAATGTATTACATACAGTGACTGAGATATCTCTATTTTGCTCATAGGAATGGTTGTAGCCGCTGAGGATGTTTCTCTACAATCAGTCATGTGATTGCTATACTTACTACCTGTTAGCCTGATATGCTTTTTTCAATAGTGGTGCAATGGCTGCTGTACGCTACGGGCTTTTCCTCGAGGCGATGACACATGGGCAACATTAAGAGGCAGACAGCATGACAAAACTAGTAACAGTGTTGAAGTCGATTAATCAAAATATAATCCCGAGTCGAGCCCCGAGTTTTTTATGTTTTAATGTTAAATGTTGAAGTTTGAGTCTCTAAAACCATGTTTAACTCACATGAGTCAGCACAATCATGTCTGAATCAATACAGTCATGTTTGAGTCACTATCTAGGCATGGGACCATATATATAGATTTCATTTTAGGATCATACTGTCTAAAATAATTGTGATTCACAATATTGTCCCACATTTATTGCATCAAAACATGCTTAATCTCTTAAAATGTACAATAAAACACACGGAAATCACACACCTTACATTTTGCATATTGCATCATAGACAGGACACACATCCTTTTTAGTGAAACACAATAAATTGATCTGAACTAATCATAAATCATAAATTACCTTTACATTAATAAAGGATAAATTGTTCTATAAGCAACATTGTGTGATTTAGTTTCTTAACATGATAATTCCTGTATTTTTTTTAAAACATGGTCATGGTCACTCGTGAGGATATTTACAATCATCCCCATAATCAAAATTGCCCCAATCGTGTTTTTATCGCGATCCCCATAAAAATGCTATATCGTCCCATCCCTATAACAGTCACTGCAGACATGCCTTTATTTTATTTAACCAGAAAGGTCTCAAGGCCATACAAAAATAAAAATCTCTTCTGGGCAAGACGGCAAAAAAAAGAGCAAACAAACACCAAATATGCTTATATATTATAAGCAACCTTATTGTTCCTTCAAACATTTTTAAAGAATAAATCACGCCTGAATTTCCCCACGTGGATAAATAAAGTTCCATCTTATCTTATCTTATGTCAAGAGAGGGTAAGGAGACCAGGTTAAGTATGCCTTGCAACTTAGTCCAATCTTGCAGGGCATGAAAGGCAAACTCAATCTGAAGAGTGATAATGATGTACATATCAATTACTTTGTCATACTGACAAAATGTACTTTGGACTAATATTTTTCTAAATAAATACAATCATGTCTAAAGTTGTGATCATGCCCTTGTCACTACAATTTGATTGACCAACATTTCAATCAAAATTATCTCTATAAATCATCAAATGTGTGACTTGTATGGGACTTGAAAAGTTCAGGGCATAATAAAGTCTAGTTTCCAAACAGCACAAACCTACAACACTCATCAAATGGGCAGAATACTGTTGAATTAACTGAAATGGAGAGAGACAATTGATAGCATCTATATTAAGTTAATATAGATGCTATCAATTAAAATAAATGTAACATTTGTTTCTGCAGTTGTCACTCTCCATCCCTGTTACAGGTGTTGCCCATCTACATTTGGTCAAGATGTTGCCTGTGTTTCAGCTCTTTTACTCTGACTTTTCTCATTGTAACAATACTGTATATGGCTTCACTATAAACTACGCTGAGTGATACGCACTTTGTCAGCTAAGCGGGATATAGGGAGCGTTCAGGAACTCACAATTGTCCATTCTGAATGACTCCCTGCTGCAGATGATCTGCTTCTGAGAGAAAAGTGAAGGGATATTGTCCTCCACTGGGAAACAGAACAAATGAGCATGTAGCTTTCAGCACTGCAGCGAGCACTAATATAACGTACAAAACTGCAACAAGCTGTAACTTTTATTTGCTGAAAAGCAGTTTGAACCAGAGGAATTGTGTTGCTTAGAGCTATATGCAATCAATGATTGTCTGAATCTTATTTTTAAATAATTGTTGTTTTCAAGACATATCTTTCAAAATGGAGCAACTGTCACAAAGAAACCAATATCCCCCTCGGATAAATAAGTATTCTGATTTTGATTCTGAGGATTTAAAATAGTTTTCTCAGATGTTTTTTCCTTTACAGAATCTGAGAGCAACCTCGTGTTTGTTTGCATTTGTTAGCAAGTGCAAGTCAGTTGACATTAAGTTCTGGCAAAAAACAATGACCCTTGATCTGAATAAAGACAACAACATTAGTTTCCTGGTCACTTTTGTAACTAGGTTTTTGTCAAACATTTTGTTGAGTATTTAATCATGCTCTCCAATTTTTTTATTTCTGTTAATTTATTTTACTAATGTTTTTCTATGTATGTATGTCACACTCATTTGGTTGTCTGTGTAATAAGTTAAATGTGAGAAATAAAGTTGGGAGAAATTGTGATTTGTTGCCATTTCTTTGTCCTTTAACCCTGAACATTTTGGTTAGTTGGGTCTACAAAATCAATACATGTTGTTTCTATACTTGTACATGAAACCTAGTAATTTTCATTTGTAAAATATTCAATTCAAATATGAGAATTCATAAATATATGAACTACGAGAAAACATGCTATGTTCTGATATAGGGGCCTATCATTTCCTTCATATAAAATGACCTAATTGGATCCCCTGAAAATTCCAAAATCAACAATGGGTTAGTTTGTTTTCAATCAGTTCATTGACAGAAATGTTATTGCAAACTAGTTGGAGTTTGAGTCCAAATTTGAATTGTTATCAATAAATAAATAAGAGCATGCCCCATTCATTTGAATACAACACAAGCGTATTCTTTTAACTTCATGTAGAGTTGGGCGAAGTACTTATCCATAATAGCAAAGAGGCTATGTAATAGAATAGAAGAATAGAATAGAATAGGGAGGGATGAAACCCTCTTTAATGGTCACACATGCAGAGCACACAGCACACACAGTGAAATTTGGCCTCTGCTTTTAACCCATCCTAGTACAAGGAGTCCAGTACTAGGAGCAGTGGGCAGCTATTGTACAGCGCCCGGGGAAAATGTAATGTAGCCTATACTGCAATTTCAGTGTACACTACATTTCTGGTACTTTTCTATATTGCTTGGCTACCACTGCCTTGATCCCTACCAGCTCCTTTTGGTGGCTCGACTACATTTCCCTGCTGCACCTGTTCCCAGCACTTAGCTCCATGCAGTGGTGGCTTGACAGGCATACTGTGGGTGATACTCTGACTATAAGTACCTCATACCACCCCACTTTAAACAATGCACCTCTATTAATATCAGGAACATGTGAGAGACGTATTTTAATGGTTTGAATCAATATCCTTTTAGTGCATAGTGTCGACCAAGCTCCAAAACATTGAATCTTCCTATGCAACGGAACTGGGTAGAATATTTCTTCAGAACCTGGTAAAAGCATACATCTCTATTATAGTTCTCTTTTTAAATCAGAGAGTCTTCTAATTTACATTTATCTACATGCCAAATCAAGTAAAGTAACTTTGGTAATTTTTCCAGAGATGACAAATCTCGATAGTCTTAGAGATGTAGGTTCCCTTCGAGATATAGAAAATGCAAATCATGAGGCTCCTGTAATCTCACTTTACATTGTGCTTTAATGATTTTGATGTGCAGGGCCCCTTTGGGGTGCTTTTGGGGTTTTCTGAAGTGAGTCTGGGCCCTACGGTAGTCTTCACTTATATAAATAAAATGGCTTCCTGGGTTTGTTGAAGGCTTCAGAAGAAAGTGGAAATTCTGATGGGCCGTCAAACCGAGATGTTTTCATGTAAAGGGTGTCTTTACAGTAACTGTATGATAAAGGTGCAACGTATTTAGCACACCCCAACATCCTCATTTCCACAGGCGCACCCTTATGTGAAAGAAGACACACTTCCATAGTGTTCCACGGAGGACGAGGACGGCTGTGAGGTTTGTAATGCGCCACTATTTGCATGTTCACAGAACCACTGATCCAAATAAGTTCATGCCCAACGCTCCACGCTATGTGAATGCTCTCTTATCCATGAAGCAGATCCTCCCTAAACACTGTTTTTAATGGGATCCTAATGGTGTATCCTTTGAACAAGAAATCCTAATATCACTGTAAATATTGTAGTGAAATATGAACTCTCACTTGAAACTTTCATCTACTCTTTTGCTTCTGACAGAGTGGTTTTGTATCACGCTTTGGAGAGAAGCAGGGCTTGGAGGGCCAGGTGAAGAGCTGCTGGACTCTGCTGGCCCTCAGCATCCTCACCTACTTCCTGTGGAAGAGAATGATTTAGCCAGCACTGCCACCTAGTGACTGTTCACACTAACTGCAGGAGTGAGCTGCCTGCCATCCGAAAGTCACTTCATCTCTCTTTTAAAATTGTGTAAAAACATGTCAATCAGTAATTTACAGAGGTGGGATTAACTAAGTACATTTACTCAAGTACAATTCTGAGATACTTGTACTTTACTTGAGTGTTTACATGTCTTCTACTCCACTACACTTCATAGGTAAATCAGGTACTGTTACTCCCCTAAGATAAAGATAAAAAGATAAGATATATTTTATTGATCCCAATTTGGGGAATGTTTTTGTTTAAGCAGCATGTAAACAAGGCATTGCATACAATGTGAAGATGAAAATGAGTACTAAATGAACAGACATAAGCATAAAATATAAACATCTAAAAATAGAAAATAAAAACAGAACTTTAACTTTAAAGTAAAATATATACATAATGACTGTGGAAGATATAAATCAAAAGACTGTCTGTCAAATATACACTATGCGGGGTCAATTACAGCTAACAAAATATAGCAGTATCATATTTATTAACATGGTGTGCAAAAAATTGGAAATTAAATTAAATATCAATGTACCGTGTGAAAACACTATGTACAGAGGGACACATTATAATTTTTGAATGTAAAAATCCAGTTATCAAAGCAACATATAGGAAACTATGGAGCTGTGTGTTCTCTGCTGTCAGAGGTTAGTGTTGGACAGTCAGGAAGGACTTCCTGTACAGAGGAGCTGCAGCAGTCTGTTGTTCTGCATGTATTTAATACCTTTAGTTACTTTACAGATCTGGATTAATGATGTGAAATACAAAGAACTCTTAAATCAGACTTTAGGGCTCATTCACACCAGCCTTTTATAGTCCGGTATAATCGAACCCTGGTGCTTTTAGCCGCTTGGTGCGGTTCGTTTGGGTCGTTGTGAACACAGTCCGAGACGACTCTGGTCCGCTAAAATAGGTGGTCTCGGAGTCGGGCCGCTTGCTAGTGAACTCTGGAGCGGTTCATCGCTGGTGTGAACGCAGTCCACACCAACACATAGGTGGCGTAGTATTTACGTGTCACAAGAACGCGGGTGTCTTCAAAATCGTTAGCGAAAGAGTGAAGCAGAATGTAGTGTTGAACAGTGTTGTGTAAAGTAAAAACAACTATCAAACTAAAAACTATACATAAAAGTCAGAGCCACCTGCCGTCGGTGAAACCCCCTCCTTACTGCAGAACGTCTCTCATTATATGTGTTATAATGTTTTGTATCGCACGTTGTCTGATTATATAATCATATGCGCCGTTGCTGTTGATATGCTCTCCAGATTAACAACAGCATGAAAATAACCTGCCGATGCTCCATGGTGGAGGCTCCGGTAGAAATTGCCGGGATTTGCGTTTTTACCCCCTTAATGTCTGACCAATTGTTGAACAGCATTTCCGAGCACATGACTTGTGTTTAAAGTTTATAGTCCGTTTGAATTTTGCCTGTGTGAACCATGTGTGAACGCAAACCGAACCTTCTGAAAAATGAAACAATGTAACAAACTGTGGTCTGGTGCGCACCAGAGAAGCGGACTATTACGCGCCGCAGACGGACCCGGTGGAATCTAGGGGTAAGGTGTGAATGCACCCTAAATTACACCTGGAGTAAATTCACAAGCAGATACCCTGCAGTATACAAAGTCATTAAAACTAGCTGCACCTTTACCAGCTTTGATAACACTTTAATGATCAATCATTATAAAACATATCATATATATTATTCTGAAATGGTAATACTTTTCTACTTTTACTTGAGTAACATTTTGAATGCAGGACTTTTACTTGTAGTATTCCTACACTTGGGTAGTTATTTTACTCAAGTACAAGATCTGAGTACTTTTCCCACCTCTGGTAATTAACCTATAGAAATCAGTATAATTCATTACTCCAGGGGATAAGGTATACTATTGTATACAAGTCTGTTATTTAAAGAACATCTAAGCCTTTGGAATAGTCACGAGGAAACCATTGTTTACTTTATGCTGCAGCATGTGAACTGTGATCTGGAATATTTTTTCTTTTTAAACTGTCATGTTCTGCTGGTTTACTTACTAAAAAATGCATTTGTGTTACTCCTTTGTTCATACAGCAATATGAGTATATGTATGATAGACAAACACATTGATATCTTTGTGGCTACACTTGAGTGCACTTTCTGGAGAAGTTAGGCAGGTGGACTTTATGTACAGTGTAGTGTATCAGCTCAAAAAACACCTTAGCCTACATGCATTTCCAATACCTCTTCCATTTTGTTCTTATCATAATCAAGTGAGTCAATTCATTAAAAGACTTTGTATACAGTTTAACCTTTATTAACCGGAACAGCAGCCAGAACACTGAAAGAATTTGGAAGATTACATTTTAAGCCAACATTAACAGCAGCAGAACAGTGAAAGCTGAAAGAACATTACAGTTATAGCCAACATTAAAAGCAGACATAACACTGAATGCTGAAAGGACTTGCAACCTTACATTTTTCTCTTACATTAATTTAAAAGATTTTTGGAAAGTGATATTTAGGCCAGATCTTCCTCCCCGTCCTCCTCGAACTCTCCCTCCTCCTCAGCAGTGGCATCTTGGTACTGCTGGTACTCTGACACCAAGTCATTCATGTTGCTCTCTGCCTCAGTGAACTCCATTTCATCCATACCCTCACCGGTGTACCAGTGGAGGAAGGCCTTTCGCCTAAACATAGCTGTGAACTGCTCAGAGATGCGCTTGAACAGCTCCTGGATGGCCGTGCTGTTGCCGATGAAGGTGGCTGACATCTTGAGGCCACGGGGAGGAATGTCGCAGACAGCGGTCTTCACGTTGTTGGGGATCCATTCAACGAAGTAGCTGCTATTCTTGTTCTGCACGTTCAGCATCTGCTCGTCAACCTCCTTCATTGACATGCGGCCACGGAAGATGGCAGCCACTGTCAGGTAGCGGCCGTGACGTGGGTCGCAGGCAGCCATCATGTTCTTGGCATCAAACATTTGCTGGGTGAGCTCGGGCACAGTAAGGGCTCTGTACTGCTGGCTGCCTCTGCTGGTCAGGGGGGCGAAGCCTGGCATGAAGAAGTGCAGACGGGGGAATGGCACCATGTTTACAGCAAGCTTACGCAGGTCAGCATTGAGCTGCCCAGGGAACCTGAGGCAGGTGGTGACACCGCTCATGGTTGCAGAGACCAAGTGGTTCAGATCACCGTAAGAGGGAGTTGTGAGCTTGAGTGTGCGGAAACAGATGTCATACAGGGCTTCATTGTCAATGCAGAAGGTCTCATCTGTGTTTTCTACAAGCTGATGGACTGATAGTGTGGCGTTGTAGGGCTCAACAACAGTGTCTGATACTTTGGGGGAAGGCACCACGCTGAAGGTGTTCATAATGCGGTCAGGGTACTCTTCACGGATCTTGCTGATGAGCAGGGTGCCCATTCCAGACCCTGTACCACCACCCAGGGAGTGTGTGAGCTGGAAGCCCTGAAGGCAGTCACAGCTCTCTGCCTCCTTCCTCACCACATCCAGGACAGAGTCCACCAGCTCTGCACCCTCTGTGTAGTGACCCTTTGCCCAGTTGTTGCCAGCCCCGCTCTGGCCTGCAAGACAAGAATCCTAAATTAAGATGTGGCACTCTGTGCAAACAATCAATTGCCATGCTCTGAACAAATCCAATAAATATCACTTACCAAACACAAAGTTGTCTGGTCTGAAGATCTGGCCAAAAGGTCCAGACCTTACAGAGTCCATGGTGCCTGGCTCAAGATCAACCAGCACAGCACGGGGCACATATTTACCACCTAGAAACCACAGGTTAGAAGTAAGGGAACATGGCCAAAATTAAGATTCAACATAAAATGTATTAAGAAATCATGTCTGTTTAGATGTTACCTGAAGCCTCATTGTAGTAAACATTGATCCTGTCCAGCTGCAGGTCACTGTCACCGTGGTATGTACCAGTCGGGTCAATACCGTGTTCATCACTAATCACCTCCCAAAACTATAGAACAGAAGCAAAAATGTTTAGTTATTACATCCAACAAAAGGACTTGGAACACCAGTCCACTCCTCATTAGTGAATTGTATTTACAGTTACCAGTGTATTTTGCAGCCTGTTATAATTGTTGATAAATGGTAATGGATTAAACTCTTTTTCCCGCCGTGCTGACTTCGACACGCGCCCTGATCCCCTATTTGTTGTGACTCGTGTGTTATGAAATTGAAAAAATGCAATAACTCCACCTAATTCAGGCAAACGCCCGGCGCAGCTCAGTATAGCATAACCCAGTAGGCCTCAATTAAACGGGCCCGTTATAAATGTAAACAACATCAATTAAATACAAAAAAAGTGTTAACTACAAATATCATTGACGTTTTAATACAACATTACTAGTTTGTGGTGCTTTTCTCTTTTTCAATGACAGTGCTCAATTTTTACGCATTGCAGTGGCTGCCGAGCGAACAATGGTGATATAACCAGGGGTGCACATAACTGGTATGCAGGGCCGCCCCTCCCTACACGCAGATCACGCAGACTGCGTGGGGCTTCACCTTGCTGGTACGCATGCACGGCAAACATCTGAAATGCGTAATGTCACTTGTGTCACTACGCCACTCTGCGTACCTGATAGGTCATCAAAACAAAACACATATTTCATCTACACGTGTTCCTTGTCAACACTCAATGGAGTAAAATACTAGACATGTCAAAAAAACAAAAGACATTAAGCAGCCACTTTGGCGTTTTGCTCCCTGCATAAAAACTTTCTTGGACTGATTGAACGTGGCCGAGCCGCGCAGGCCATAGCCGACGGACCTGTGAAGCTTTACAGGAGGCAGAGGCTTAGATCACTGGACGACAGAGTTGGCCGCCGTTTACACAGACAGGGCTGCAACAGAATTGTACCAAAACTACGCCAACTGGCTGCGGAGGGAGACTCCCCTGTGCACATTCTGTTGTTGCGTTGTGAGCGCAAAATCAGCTGATCACAACATTCCTTAATGTGAGACTTTTAATCGATCTGTGGTCAAGCTGCTGCAGTTTTAAAAGGAGGAGCAAAACACACAGCTGCAAACTTACTCAGGGTCTTAATGGAAGAGTTTAAAATCAGACAGGGGTGGAAGAAGTACTCTTGTGTAGCAATACTCTGTTACAAGTAAAAGTCCTGCATTCAAAATGTTACTCAAGGAAAAGTAAAAAAGTATAAGCATCAAAATATAGTTAAAGTACTAAAAGTAAAAGTAGTCATTGTGCAGATTGGTCCATTTCAGAATAATATATATGATATGTTTTATAATGATTGATCATTAAAGTGTTATCAAAGCTGGTAAAGGTGCAGCTAGTTTGAATGACTTTGTATACTGCAGGGTAGCTTGTGAATTTAGTCCAGGTGAGTATTATTGAAAAGTATACAGCTCTCTTTCATATGAGTGTTGAGAGCTGTATCCATAAATTCCTTTTGTGCTCAAAGTGCACCAGATTGATGCTTTTCACTTCAACATTTAAAAGAAAATCTTGCCGGGGTTGTATGCCCCCGGACCCCCGTAGAGGATGTGAGGTCCACCCCCAGCAGGTTAAAATAATTAGATTGCATACATTTTCTTTTAGTAAACACTGCAAACGGGTCCCACAGACCCAAACAGCACACAAAGGTTAAAGGTAAGCATATAATAATGTTAAAATGTGCTAAATATATACACTGCAAAAAAAAAAAAAAAAGGAGTAAAAGTAGCTCACGACTTGTTTTATTTTTTGAAAGTAGCTCTCATCCTAAAAAAAGTTGGAGACCTTAGAGCATTAGAGCGTAAAGACTGTAACTATAAGTATCTGAAATAAATATGTGTAATGAAACAAATACCAATAACTGTATTGCATTGTTTTCTTATGCGCAATTACTTCATACTGTCTTTGTCTTTTTCGTCCTGCATTTATTGTGCCCCCCTCAGAAAATAACTGGCCCCAGCCTGGCCCCCCCAGTCAAATTGGTCTAGAACCGCCACTGCTGAGGAGGAGAGTGAGGAAGACTGCAGCATCATCATCATCTACCACGCAAGAAGAGGATAGTGGACAGTCAAGGAGACACTGAGGAGGACAGTGAGGAATACTGCACTTGTTAACACCACGCTTCGTGTGGGGTGAGTACCAAACGCTGTCTCCTGGTACTCATCTGAGTAACTCACTAAAACAGTTATGTGCACCCCTGGTTATAACGGTAACCGTTAACATTTGTACGTATTTGAAAGCAAACGGACAGCCAATTATTTATCTCAATCAAAACATTTTTTTAAATCTCAAACAAGTTTAATAGTTTGTATTCGTCAAAAACTTGACATAATACTTCTCTTGATGCGTTATATTAAACATTGACATGCAATTTTCACAAAGTAGGGCCCCATTTGATGTGCAGTAACGGCTGTCAAACGACCAATATTGATATAACGGTAACCGTTAACAGTTTTAGTGTTTGCTAGCAACAAACGGACAGACAAATGTCAAAAAAACATTTTAATCGTTTTAATTCGTCAATATATAAATAATTTAATTTCAATGTTCACAAGTAGGGCCCATTAAATGTTCCAAGGGTTGGGTCAATGGGACGCGAACTAGCACAAAGCACCGGCTCTCAGAGCAGAGAACAAGATCTTTCTGAATGAAAATTACTCAATTTAGAAGAAAAATGGCTAATACAATTGTACTAACCTTAGCACCGATCTGGTTGCCGCATTGGCCGGCTTGGAGATGCACAATTTCCCTCATATTTCTTTCTGGATATTGGTTAGAGATCTCAAAGAAGACAACGCCCTTCTAGCGGCTCAAACCTGGGTTATATACAAAAACAAGACCCACCTCTTTCTCCCCAACTCGAATATCTATTGGCAGATTTACGAACGCATCTTTAACAGACACACATTTAAACCAATAAAAGCTTTCAATGCATCTCCGTGATTGGTCGAATCCGCCTGCCAATCACATTCACCTCAAACGTGTCTTCTCTTCTGCAGACGTTGGCCGATTTCCCTTATCATGGCTGAAAATATATGCGACACTCACCACTGCATTTCACAGCCGCTCTTGGCGTCTTTTAAAGACAGTGAACAATGTATTTCTTATATCATAGTTAAGTATTTGTATGGAATGCCGTTTAAGCCTAAATTAAATAAATAATTAAATAAATACATATATAATATGCCTGTGAAATAAATAAATATGGTTATGAAATACATTCTGAAATAAATAAATAAGGCAATAAATATATATTAATGTACATTTAAATACACATGTATTTATTTCATGGGACTTTTATTTCATAATGCCACATTTAGTTATTTCAAGAGACTTTTATTTCATAATGCTACATTTATTTATTTCAAGAGACTTTTATTTCATAATCCCACATTTATTTATTTCAGGGGACTTTTATTTCATAATGCCACATTTATTTATTTCAAAATACTTTTATTTCATAATGCCACATTTATATATATTTCAGGGGACTTTTATTTCATAATGCCACATTACATTTCCATTTCTTATATTCAAATGAACGGGGCGTGGTTAGGTCACAGATCCAGACCAAAGCAACAGCACCACAAAACTGACTCAATGAAGGCTTCTCAATTCTCTAATTTCCCCTCCTCGGACCTCGACTCCCCTCCTCGACTCCTCTCTTCCCCTCCTCCGGGACTTGACCCGGAAATCGATCAAGACACGCCATGTTGAAGGACGTCCCAATAGAGTGGCGAAGTCCCTCCCCTTCCGGTGGACCTCCATGGGACCTTATTTCGGAAAAATTATGCATTGAAGTCAATGGAGAGAGAAAGATTATCTTTCGATCCCGTTTGAATTGTGCCATGAATTACACATATGTTGTTTGTCAATTTAAAAGATAATTTTGCAAGTCAAAAAAAAAAGAATGTGTCGTAAAACTGTGAAGTAACACATTTGTTTGTGTGAAACGCTCAAAGAACTACATCTGATCTCTGGTCAACAACACACGTCACCAAGATGGCCGTCACTACTGTCTTGTCAACACAAGAGACTACCCTCACTATCACTACAATGAAACACGTCCTGAAGAATGTCATGCAAAGCTGCCTGCCTTCCTTCCTTTGATTCTCTCTGAACTGCCTGGTCGTTTTAATGTTTAATGTCAACCATTTGTGCAGATAGCATGAAGTAGAGAAGATCGCTAGCGTTAGCGTTAGCATTTCTCCCCCGGGCTTAAATTGTGTATTATAGAATGATCACACCGGTGACAGTACTATTCAAAGGGTTCACGAAATATGACTACTACTCTTACTGTTTAACATTTTGGGTTACTTAATGTTACTTCATGTTAAGGCTAATAAAAATGACAAGGCTGTAATGCTAACTAACGTGCTAGCTACTAGCTAGGTAGCTAACTTGATCCACACACTCCTCTTTCATCAGACGGGAAGCGAAAGAACGAGCAAGACCCATTGCTGGTATAATAACAACCTGGTACTAAGCACACAGGCACAAAGTTATCTTATCTTAGCCAGCGCCATATAGATAGATTCTATCTATATGGCGCTGATCGTATATATACGGTATTATACGTGTATCGTAGTGTCTCAATTGTGACATCACTTACGCGACTCTGGGATTTGTAGTCTTTCTAGTTTCGTATTTTTCAAAGTCTTATATTTCAACAGTTTTAAGACAAACTGTGACTTTTTTGACATGGAAATGATTTTTTAAGATTGACAAACATCATATGTGTAATTCATGGCACAATTCAAACAGGATCGAAAGATAAGTTTTCTCTCCCCATTGACTTCAATGCATAATTTTTCCGAAATAAGGTCCCATACCCCGGAAGTAAGTGGGAGGGACTTCGCCACTCTATAGCTGAAATGCACACGGAGGAGTCGAGGAGGGGTGAGGGAGGAGGGGTGCGGGAGGAGACGAAAGGGAGGATAGAGAGGCGAAGTCCCTCCCCTTCCGGTTGAGCTCCATGGGACCTTATTTCGGAAAAGTTATGCATTGAAGTCAATGGAGAGAGAAAGATTATCTTTCGATCCCGTTTGAATTGTGCCACGAATTACACATATGATGTTTGTCAATTTAAAAGATAATTTTACAAGTCAAAAAAATAAAAATGTGTTGTAAAACTGTGAAGTAACACTTTTTTTGTGTGAAACCGCTCAATGAACTACATCTCCCGTCTCGCACCACATACCAAGACGGCCGTCACGTGGCACATTTCACTTCTTTCTTTCAGAATGAGGCGAAAAGTATTAAAAGAGGTGAAAATCACTACAAGTCTGGGCATGTTGAGAGCTGTACATACACAAAAGGGGAGTTAGTCGATTCCAAGAGCCAGCATGCAGGACCGGGATTCTGGGATTTGTAGTCTTTCTAGTTGCATATTTTTCATAGTCTTATATTTCAACAGTTTTACGACAAACTGTGACTTTTTTGACATGGAAATGATTTTTTAAGATTGACAAACATCATATGTGTAATTCATGGCACAATTCGAACGGGATCGAAATATACGTTTTCTCTCTCCATTGACTTCAATACATTATTTTTCCGAAATAAGGTCCCATGGGGCGGAAGTAGATGGGCGTGACTTCGCCACTCTATAGAGTGGCGAAGTCCCTCCCCTTCCGGTGGACGGAAGGGGAGGGACTTCGTTAAATTAACTAACGTCACACACGTCAAACCCAAGGGGCATTAAAACGTACATTTTCGTTAAATAATACGGATAAATATGTGACGCTAACTAGCTAGCTGGACGTACTGCACTGTTGTTTACACTTATTTTTAATTCAATTCAGAAGTTTACTAAAGTCATACAGAGATCGTGGCTCTGTTATAGATAAGTTATACTTTATATTACATAAATAGACCAAAGTGAAAACATTTAGACCGGTATAGCCTACAGTACGGTGGGATTTATAAAAGGCTACCCTGACGTGTAGCTGCTGTTAGCTTTATGTATTTCTCTGACATGTTGCAATGTTTTACTGTTTATTAAACTTTGGGACACCATTACAACCTTTGTGTTCAGCTCATGCTGCTTTGAGGTAGGGCTAAAAGAAAAGCCTATTTTAAATATTTCCACCAGATTTGATCATCTTTTATAAGGTTAAAGTTGATTTAATGTATCCTAATCCCATAATAATAAGACAATCAAAAATAGACAGCAGCCTTTTGCTTGATGTTAGTTTGTGCAGTGCTGTCAAAGGGATGCACGTGTGACTGTCATTTCATCTCTTTAGTTTTTTAAAAACCAGAACAGTACATAATTTTAAATGATCCTTTAGGGATTGTTTGTCTGACTCTGAAATGCTTAGTTACATTTTGCAATAATACTTCTGCAACCCTGTGTTTAATATGATTAATTCACTTTTTAATTTTTCTCTTGTTTTTCTCTGTAATTAGTAAAATTCTGGAGAAATGGATCTGCTGGAGAAGGACCCCTAATCTGAAAAGTGCCCAGCGGATCATCAGGACAGAGCTGCCATCCACCTGGACACCCCGTGGTGCTGAAGAAAGCAAAACGGCGATCAGGAACATCCTCCACCCAGACCTCTGCTTACTGCCGTCCTACATACTTGTGTGTCTTAGTTTCAGAATATGATTTTGTATGTGTCCTTTCTTTGAATAGATATGTAACGATTATAGCTTGAGTCTGTCTGATTCCCCAAACAACTGCTTCTATATACTTGCTGCACATATAATACAAATAAACAACTGCATAAACACACTTTTGCTGATATTTGTTTTACTGCTGGTGATGTTAAATAACATGATTGATTTGCTCTGTCTCAATGATGAAAGTTATAATAATAGAAGACATGAAGCTGCAGAGAGAGGATGGATATATTCTTACCTCTACTTTGTGATAAGATGAAAATACAATATTAAATTGTAATTGTTAAACACATTGTTTATTTCATTTACTGAGGTTTTAACCATTATTTACAACATGTGTACATAAGCAGTGGAATAATAGGATATCTCTAGGTCATTAAACTGTCTTCAGTTTAATTTTATTAATACAAAAAATAGGTAATAGAAAATGTTTAATTGTGTATTTCAGCAGAGCGGGGGATCACGGTGCTGCTGGAGGTGCTGACCTGGGGTCAGTGGGACATCATCTGGGCAGGTTTAGGGGAAGAAGGAGAATATAAACTGTTATGATCACAGCTATTAAGATTAGAACACTAATATTGTTAAGAATCAATCTATACAACATGCTTTGGTTCATTTAAAAAACATATTGTTTTATTAGTACAGAACAATTAAGACTTATTTTAAATAAATAATATGATTAAATGACATCAGCTATATATCATTTACTTGTTAACTTACTAATGTAACATTACTGGGGGCTAAAGGAACAGCTTCATCTTATTTACCTGGCCATGGTCCTCTTTAATTCATCGCCGACGGTGATTTCGGGGGAAAGCATTGCAAAACTGGCCCCGGTAATGGTACAAATCTCAACCTGTCGTACAATGGACAGCTTCCCCCCCCCATCTATGTATATACTCGCATTTTAGACTCTGTTACTAACTGTATATCTGTAGACTTGGTATGTCTTAAATGTCCGGTTAGGATGTATTAGAACGAAATCTAAAATGAAAATTGTAAATAAGCCATCTGTATGTAAAAAACCACCTGTATGTAAATTGTAAATAAGCCATCTGTATGTCAAATATGTCTTATATGTCTTAAATGATATGATGAATTGGAAATGGGGGACCCTGATGTAAACAAGACGAAAGTCTTTCTCTGGTCTGCATCCCCTTAACAATTGT